AAAATCCATTCAATGGCAACTAACTAGAAGCACACACACACGCACACACACACAGAGACACACACACATGTTGGTGTAAGAGGGACAGGTATATGGTCGGAACGTTTTGCTGTCAATTGAATGTGAAGTGTGTTTCACAGATCGCAAAAGTTGAAGGCAGGCCAGGGTTGAGGGTCGCGGGGTGCTGCCTCTCCCTCTCTCTCTGTGTGTGTGTGTGTGTGCGTGTGTGTGGCATTATCAGCGTGTTTATATTAAGTGTGACACTCGTTTATGATTGTTTTGTTCGAGTGGAATGCATTAAATGCAAGCGATTATCTTTCGACCCAAAGCTAATCTCAGCCAAACGCTGCAGGGGTGCTTTGCGGCTGGAAGGGGCTGCTGGGCGGGGCAGGGGGGCGGTGGGAAGGAGGTAGCAGTCAGTGTATTGACATGCCTTAATCATGGTCCACATACTCCACAGCTCATAGATTATTCCTCGGAGTCTCACATGCAACCGGAGCAGGGCGCAAGCTTCGCATCTGCACGCAAAGCACTTGCGAGCTTCGTTTTAGAGCTTTAAGCGAGCTTTAAGCTGAGCACAGCGAACTTTAAGAGTAGAGAATGAACGTAAAGATTTGATTTAGGTTACTTTTAGCGCAGTTATATAGCTCGCATCAAGACAGCACTTTCAATGTCAGCTTAATCTTTCCTCAAGCTTTAAGCGAGCTTTAAGCTGAAGATAAAGAACTTTAAGCAGTTGCAGCTCGCCTCCAGCTTGACACACTTTTCAAGCTTTGCAAGCACTTTTCATCAAGCTTTAAGCGAGCTTTAAGAGAAGAATGAACTTAAAAATTTGATTTAGATTACGCTGAGTGCAGTTGAAGCTCGCATCAAGCTTAAAAATATAACTTTCAAACTAAGCTTTGTGCTTTCGAAAGCTTTAAGCGAGCTTTAAGCTGAGCACAACAAACGAATTGGTTCGGTTAACTTAAATATTTGTTTTATAGTTACTCTGAGTGTTCTTATAGCTTGACTCAAGCTAAATGTAGCACATGTCCAGCTGAGTTAAATCTTTTTGAAAGCTTGAAGCGAGCTTTAAGAGTTTTTTTACCCAAAGGTTTGATTTATTGTTATGTAAACTTGAAGCACCCACACTTTTTAATGCAAACCTAATCTAAAGTTTGTTAAATCTTGTAAGGCTACAAAGCTCATTAAAGCCACGAATAGAACGCTTTAGAGCTTTAAGCTCGTGTTAATGTTAAGTATTTAAAGTTCATTTTGGTTCAGCATCAGCTTAAAAAGCTATCAAATGGAGCTGATGTAAAATGTAATTTGCTCGAAATCTCGAAAGCTCGTTAAAAACTCATTAGCTTCAGCGCGTGACTTCCTGATTTGAGAGCGTGACTAAGTTTGCAATTAAACTTCAGTTGCGACAAATAGTTCATATTATCATAACTTAAAAGGTATTTAACAGCCAAGAGTTACTTTCTATTGAGACACCAAAAACGAACTTTGTTTTTGCGCGCATTTCAAGCTTTTTTTTCTTTAACTTGACGCGTTAAAATTCGCAACAAGTTGAAGCTGTGCGCAAGTGTCAAGCTCTGAATAGAGCATTGTTCAAAAATCAATTAAATAATATTTTTGCAATTTCTTGACATTTAAATAAATGTTGAGAGGTTTTTTTTTGCTCGTAACTTATTTAATTAATTTCGAGCGTAAAATTTACAAATTGCAAATGATATTCGTAACCTATAACAAGCAATTGACCCATTTGTGTTAATGTTAACGCTGTTAGTTGCCTAACCAGGGGGGCGGGGCGGAGGAGGGGTAGAGGGGCGTGACATGTAATGCCAAAGTGATGTGGGGAGAGGGGGGAGAGGGGTACGCCTTTGATAAGAGCGCTGGAAATTCAATCAACGCGAATGCACTCGAAATATATATATGTATATGTATTCAGCATTGTGAGGCAAAGTGAATCGCCCACATGTAAATGCACACACACACACACACACACACACACACACACACACACACACACACACACACACACACACACACACACACACACACACACACACACACACACACACACACACACACACACACACACACACACACACACACACACACACACACACACACACACACACACACACACACACACACACACACACACACACACACACACACACACACACACACACACACACACACACACACACACACACACACACACACGTAGACTGGCAATTGCATTGGACACAAACTGAAAGCGAAGGCGCAACAAATTGCACGCATCTCGTCGCTCAATTGACTCGAGGGGGGGGGGGGGGCGGGTTGGCAGTTGTTGCCCCTAGGGGTGGCATATATATGCACACATTTGCATATATATGTTACATATGTATGCGCCACAAAGTCTGCAGATGCAGCTGAGCCAAAAACGAGGCTGAAACCGGAGATGCCACGCCTCATTAACTCGAATCGAGAACCTATTTATAATCTAATATATATATATATATATTCCACTTCCACTCTAGATATTTGGATATATATACGTTTTTATAGTTCTGCAAAATGTTTGGCATATCGCAATTTCTTGAACAACATTCGCTTTGACACAGTTTTCCTAGGAAACAACTCTTTGAACTTGATTTGAACAAATTCTGATGCACAATTTGAAATGAATTCAATTTTGAGTAATTTTCTCTTTTCTTAGTAAATACAGAATTTGCGGTTAACTAGAGTTTGCAACTTTGGCGAAATTCTTTAAAATTGTTGAGTAAATTAAAATGAAAAATTTGCAAAAAAAAAAAAAAAATAAATAATCTGTTCTTGATTCAAACTAAAAACTTGAGAACTTTCGAGTGTTTTTGTGCGAAATGTCAATTAAAGAAAAGTTTTGCAAAATTTGGCATTTGCTCTAGAAATTGGAAATTCTTGTACTTTATTCAAACGAAAAACTTGAGAACTTTTGGAAAAGTTGTAACATTATTTCATTTGAGAACCTTCAAAACATGAAAGCTTTAAGAATTTTAGATCAAATTGACTTCTAACTAGAAATTAGACTCAAAATTTGCGCATTTTTCAGCTTTGAGTATTCTCAAAATAAGTTGAATGACAATAGTTTTCCAGTTGGGAAACTCTTTTGCACCCGCCGCATTTCCCTGTGAGTTTCCGCTTTCTGCGCTTTTCGAGAATTACAAATCTTATTGAAAACATTTGCCTAATGGCTTCTACACATATACATATACATATATATATATGTATATATATATTTATATATTTTGCGTGACGTCACAGAAATTCCATTGTCTCAACTTTGGCAACGACAATTGCAGCCCAGATGCCAAATACGTTGCGCAGCCCAAGTTTGTCTGCGGCATTATGTCGTTGGCTTTGCGTAATTCTATTTATCTATCTATCTATCTATCGATCAATCAGTCTGTCAGTCCGTCAATCGATCAATCGATCAATCGTCCATGGCGAACACTCGCCGCATGCAAATCGCAAGTTGAAGAGCTCTCAATTTGTCGTTATCGTCTTTTATCGCAAATCGTTCAGAGCTGGCTGAGTAAAAGTAGCCTGACCGCAAGATACCCTGTAACTGGGCGGCGTTATCTTAGAACTGAAAGATTCAGGTTCTGTCTATACTAAACAAGAGCCTGCATCCCAAATTTGATGTCTCTAGCTATGGAAGTCTTCGAGATATTGCTAAAAAGAAATATAGCTTTCAGATAGATATTTATCGATATTTCCCACATAATCTATCGTATACCTAGACTCTTCGATATATGGCTAAAGAAATGCTTTAAAGTCGATATTTATATCTTATACCTTAGCTCTTCAAGATATGGTTAAACAAAAAGGCTTGCGTCTATATCGATATTTATCGATAGTTCGATTTCATGTCCCATAATCTATATTTAAGCTAAATTTGATGTCTCTAGCTATTAAGGGGGTTTGATATAAGACTTCCCTCAATATCGATAGTTATCGATAGCTCGATATTATGCCTCATATTATAGCCCAATTTGATGTCTCTAGCTATGAAAGTCTTCGAGATATGGCTACAAATGTTTGACTTGAAATCGATATTTATCGATAATTCGAAATTGCTATAAAATAGACTTACGCATAAGTATTTGCAATATAAGACATCTAGCTCTAGTAGCTTTCGGTCTTGACCGACTCAGTTTGTCGCCCAAGATTAAGAATATATATATACCCTACTTCCTTTAGCCTGTTACATACATTTGCACAAAACCGAAATACCCTATTATCCCCATTTTTGCACTGAATGTGTGGGTTATAATGAATGCAAATCGATGCCTGACACTGGCTATCAATTCTCCAAAATGTGCTCAGCTTAGCTATTAGAAGGGCCAAGTCTTGATTTCTAGTCAAAAGAACGGGGGCACATCCGGTCCGATTCGCTGCAGCAGGCTGAAAAGCTTGGCCTTGACTTTTCTGGCTGTACATGTGCAAAAATCAATGCCCACAACAATGGATAAGGCTGCACAGCAGTACCAGGCAATAAACAGGGCGGTGTATACACACGTAAAACAAGGGTCGCTCAAGTCAATTTGCAGGCTGAAAAGCTCATTAAAACTTCCGGCGGTAGCTTGAAAGCACATGAAAGCTCTAAGACCATAAAAAAATCAATGAAAATTCTCTGTGTTGCGTGGACTAAAAAAGCACATGAAAGCCCTCCAAAGCTAAAGTTTACAAAAGCCCTGCGGCGTTATGTATGCTTACAGTTAATCAAGCAACTAGAAGCTTTAAAAGTCAGCATCAAATCAAAAGCACACAAAGCTCTAAAGGAAGAATAAGGACGAGCTTTTGTAAAAGCTTTTACATATGACGATTTTGAGCACTTTCAGTTTCAGTTCAAGTTCAGTTAAAGTTCAAGCTTTAAAAGCACTTTAAAGTACTTGAAAGCTTTGAAAGCTCATTAAAGCTTTAACACAACTGTGAGTTTATCCCCCCAACCCTGCCCGAAAAGCTCAATAAAAGCTGCTTACCTGTTAGCCCGGAGCGCGCCATCGCACATATCCACAGCCTGGTTGAAATACTGTTTCTGGTCACCCAACGCATCATTGTTGAGCAACAGGACAAAGGGCGTGGGCAGGAACTCATCTAGCAGATGACTGTGCGCCTGGGCTCTGCTCAACATGCTAATGGCCGTCGCCGAGGAGCACGACGATGTCGTTGATGTCGACGAGGCATTCGATGAGCCCGGCGAGCTCGATGCTGTCGCTGTGGGCGTGGCTATCGATAACTTGGACGCATGCTTATTGGAGCCAAAGCTGCGGCGTATCGACTGCAGGCTCTGGCGCAGAAAGGACTCGCGTTTGATGTTGCCGCCGCCGCCGCCGCCGCGACGCTTCGCCGGCTGCGCTGCCAGGCATAGCGTCTCGTTCGCCTTGGCTGGCAGCGACTGTGGGCGTGCCAGCTGGCCAGGTGCCGCCGGCAGCGGCACAAACTGATGCGGACTGCGTCGCAGCAGCTGCGCCTCCTGCTCACTGATCAGCTCCGAGCCGATGAGCTGCTCCTCCAGCGACTGGCCACGTTTCGACTTTGTCTTCGTCTTCGCTGGCTTTTGTTTATTGTTGGGCTTCTTGAGGCGCGCCTTCTTTGTGGGCTGCTCGCCGGCGACCAGCAGCAGCGAGGCGAGGTCCGGAAATGGTTTCAGCAGCTCATCCAACGGTTTGTTAATATTATTATTATTATTATGTATACTATTATTGTTGTTGTTGTTGCTGTTGTTGCTGGTTGGCTTCTCAATGAAGCTGTAGGATTTGATGAGAAACAAATTGGATTTGTTCTTTTTGGCCTTTAGCTGCTCCGTCGATGTTGACTCGACGTTCCCATCGCCAACGTTGACCTCCTCGCTGATTGTGGCCATTGTCTGAAGCTCCTTCTCTTAAGCTTATTGTTTCACAATGTTCTCTCTCTCTCTCTCGCTGTTTCTTTTATTATTGTTCTAGTTGGCAGCCTTTGCGTGTTTTCACTATCAACAACAACATCTTCTCGATCAGCTCTCCCTCTCTCTCTCTCGCTCTCTCTCTGGCTGCAGAAAGAAGGGCAGAGCCAAAGTTATTTTTATGCCGTCGCGTTGACATTGCCCGCAGAATGCGAGCAGCTCCAAGCAACGGCAGGTCGATAAACTATCACACACACACACACACACACATATGTGAGATTGAACGCCTGCATGTGTATTGGTAAGTTTTCGAAAGCTAGCCTGCAGCAGGCGTACAATTGGCAGCTGCCGCCTCGTGCGTGAGACACGTCCGTGTGTGTCAACCGACGCTTGGCTGCAAGCCGCAACGGTTATGAACGGTTATCATCGGTTATGAACCGCATTTACCAACTTTTTTTTTAACTACAAATCGAACTTGGTTCACCTTTACATATCGAAATATTGAAGCTCTTTTCTATAAGTCGCTTATTTCCATCTATTTGCTCTCTCGATTTTTAAGACATCTTAATTTAGCCGAATTTTACTCACAAAACAACATCTATACTAAAAGCCTAAACAAATTTTCCATTCAAATGGGAATCAATAAAAATTCAGATATTCGAGAGTTTTTGACTATATCATCTTTAGGGTATATACTGTCTGCGAGGGTATTTAATGTCTGTCATCTGTAGATGTTAACAGTTAACAGCCATAAAGCTAACAGCTCTAATGTGAGAGCCGGCATTATCATAGATCTCTTAATTAAGAACGAAATTAATTTAACAGTATCTGTTAATTTGTATATGGTTAGCAGCTCTGTTAAAAGTTATTTATATATGCCTGAAATATCGTTAACAAAGAGGCGAGCTCGAGTGCCAACTGATAATTATTCGAACTTCAATCATGATTATCATAGATTTAGATAATAAATATATATACCAAATTCATATAGAGTACAATAAACAAGGCTTTCTTTTGCGTAATCGTACTGCAGATGCGCGCTCTCTTTCTGCCATCAGCTGTTTGCCTACGCATGTGTGTGTGTGTGTGTGTATGTTTGCTAGTGAAGTTCTTTTGCCACTGTCAAACAATAGATGGCGCCACGCAGCAGCCGCCCGGCATTTGACAACACACTCTCCCCCTCACTCACTCTCTCTCTCTCTCTCACGCACACGCTCTCACTACGCGCCGTACGTATTGTTGTTTTGGTCTGGCCAGCAGCTCTTTGCTGTGCGCGTGTATTTGCTTTTACCGCTAGTTGTTGTTGTTGTTGTTGTTGTTGTTGCTGTTGCTGCTGCTGCTGTGGAGTACAATTCTTTTCTTATTTAATTTGCTTTTTTTGTTTTTTGCATTTATTTTTGGCCACGTTTCCGTCACTTTTTGCTTTATGATGTCACTTGGCCGCACTCCCGGCTACGTACGTACGTAAATGTCTACGGCGGCTCCGTTTACCGCTAACCGTTGTTTTGCCAAATATGTTTGATGTTCGAGGCTGTTGTTAGTTTGTTTTGCGCGTCTTTCGCTTTGTTGTGTTGTTGTTGTTACTGTTAACGCCAAACTAATTCGCCGCAATTTATAAACATTTACACTAAAATGGACTTTTTATTTGTTGATAAACTTTATTGTTGTCGTGTGTGCGCGCGCGATAGCTGGTAACGGCAAACAAATAACAAACCGAGCACAAGTACAAAAAAAAAACAAAAAAAAAAAAACTGTTTATGTATTTGAAAAGAATAAAAACACAAAATGTGGAAAAGCGGCCACCGCTGCTGCTGCTTGAAAAGCGCTCTCTCGCTCGCTCTCGCCCGCTCACTGGCTGCCCGTCTGCTTTGTCGTTCGCTTTCGCACTGAATTTGAAATTGAAGCGCCGTTGCGGCCAGACCCAACGTCCAGCAGCAGAAGCAGCAGAAGCAGCGGCAGCGACAGCGACGCCAGCGGCGGCCCTACATCAACAACAACATCTGAGACGACGCGGCGAACAGGCAACCACATACGACGGCGAATCGTGGCCACATGCATGCATACGATTATGTGCGTGTGTGTGTGTGTGTGTGTGTGTGCATGTGTATTTAACTTCTTCGGCGCGCTTATCATGCTGCGTGGCGTTGGCGTCAACGTCGACGCAGCCGCTGGCGTTGCTTTACTGCTATTGTTGTGAAGAAACTTAACAATGAAAAGAGAAAAGAAGCAAAGGCCGCCAGCGGCAGTTTAAAGTTCTGTTCTCTCTCTCGCTCGGTCTCGCTCGTCTGCCTGGCAGACAGGTGCTGGGTTTATCTAAGGAAGCAGCAGCTGATGTTGAGATTTAACTATTAACCGTTAAGCGCACATTGCTTTGCACACCTTTCGCTCAGCGAATTGGCAATTTCTTGCCAAATTTTGACCCCAAAAACGTTGACCAACACACAACACACACACACACACACACACACAGTTTTTTGTTTCCCTTTTGGCTCAACATGATGATTTGTCAGTTTTGCTTTTGCCATTGTGCAAAAATAATTAAGGCGAAAAATAATAATTATGCAGCATTAAAATACAACAGACGAAAGACTGAGACTAAAGAGAAAGAGAAATACAATAACCCGTTTGCGCCCTCACCTGACCAACACTAATGTGCTATCTTAGGCGAAATAAATGCCCCCCCCCCCCCCCCCCCCCCCCTCTCGACCAGCCGATGTTCTCTAGTCTTAATTGAACTTTTACCGTATTATTTTCGATAAAAATCCAAAGATAAGTGGGCAAGCGTTTATGCGATATGGCAACACTGTTGTTAACTGCTGCACTAAACTGAATTCGCCGTGGCGAATCCCCCCCTCCCCCCTCCCCTACACACAGACGCTAGTCACGATGATGAGCTATGCAAAACCGCAACCAACAAAAACAACGCAACCTTCACTTTGTCTAACTCTTGATCTGTTGAGGTCTCTGTCAATACCCTGTAACCCCTCATGAGTTAGATACAGATGACTTTGATAAGGTTGTGCTTATTCAAGTACAACATAAGGCAGGGTATGCACGGCTAGCCTAAGCATGTTGACACAATTACAAATTTGGATGCTCTCGCAGTTCAAATGTATTTGTAGTTCTTTTCGTATCTTCCAAATCGATAAATATCGATATGAGTGGAAATTAGCGACGATTAGGAATCTCATAAATTTAATAAGCTGATTAAGGTTAAATTTAAGAATCGATAAATATCGATACTTAGCCTCAGTTTGAAATGCAGATCATCATTTATCCCAGCCAGATGGGATATGTATATCAGATTTGTTACTGCTTCTCTCTTTGCCCAATCGATATAAATCGATTGTTCAACTTTCTTTCTAAATGATTTTTAGATAATATAGAATATAGAAATGAAATTTGAAATTGAAATTTGGTAGACAGATTATCATTTACCATGGACAATTCACAAATGTGCTCTCCAAGTTTTGTTAAATGTACCAAATCGATAAGAGATGCTTTCTTGAGTTAATCTATAAGAGCTGAATATCTCAAATTTCGATTAACGTTTACCCTAGACATTAGACAAATATGTCGATTTTGGTTTGCTGCCAAATCGATAAATATCGATTTCCTGAATTCCTTTCTAGAGTTTGTCTACAAAAGCTGAATAACACACATTTGTAATGCAGACGAACTTATTTAAGATTATTGTAAGTAAGTAGATCAAGTTTATGGCAGTTTTCCAAAATCGATAAATATCGATTTCGTGAGATCTTTTCTCTAAGAGATAAATAACACACATTTGGAATACAGACAAACTTATTTAAGATTATTGTAAGTACATAGATCAAGTCTATGGGCGTTTTGTCAAAACGATAAATATCGATTTATTGGAATCCTTTCTATACTTTATCTATAGAAGCCAAATAACCCATACTTGGAATACAGACAAACTTATTATTATTATTAGATCAAGTTTATGGCAGTTTTGTCAAATCGATAAATATCGATATCAACGATGTGTTTTTTGGTGGACTTCAGGCCTGTTTACAGGGTATCTGAGAGTGCGGCGCTCACGACGCGCGCACTGTTAACTTGTTTGGCTTTTATGTGGGGCGTCAGTTTCATGGGGCGTTTTGTTTGTTTGATAGTCTCATTAAGAGATATCGGGGTTGTATCTGTGGTGCGAGGGGAACTGCGCTGGGATCAAAGATGGGCAAGAGCGAAAACTGAAAGCTCGTCAAGGAAAACGTTTTGGCAATTGGCAACTTTTACAGGTGAACAGTGACAACGTCACGTTGATAGCAAAAGTTGCGTAAGTGTAAAAAAAAAAAACAATCAAAATTAATCTTTGCACCCTGGAAAAAAAAGCATATGACTAATGGTTACCAGGTGTTCGGCATTTCGGCAGATATGACAGCAAAATATGCTGTACACCTGGCTAATGAACTAAGGTAAATTATGATACGTACATGTATACTATATGTCCCTATCTATCTATCTATCGCACACCTGGCCCATTCGTAATATCTAATTGGAATCCGGAAAATCACCTTACGGCCTTCCCATGTCTAACTATCGCTCGTATCTATGCTACTCGATATTCCCGCAAGTACTATCTATTGTATATTCCTTCATGCTTTCCCTCTATGAACTTTCGTATTTCCCGATTTCAATAATAATATTATCTGTACCTAATGGAACTCTAGTTGAGTTTCCTAGATGTTGCTTCCTTTGTCTTCCCTTGGATTAGATCCAAGGCGCTCTGAGTACTTCTCATCTTCATTAACATTGGAAAATACGATCTGAAAATGGGGAAAAACAGGGAGTTACCTAGTCTTGGTTGATTCGGGGAACTGGGCTCGAGCTAGAGCGAAACATCCTCGCCGGAAAGTAGTTCCAGATTTTTTCAGTTTATTTGGGAATTCCTTGAAATCGCGCCAGGAACGTAAACTCCTCAAGTCTTCCGTTCTTTCGGAATAGATTCTCACTATAAAAGATCCATGAACTATCTAGTAAATCTTACGTACTCCCTTCACATTCAAAATGGAGCACCAAAAGGAATAATCTGCATGCGTATCGAAAGGCTGTC